CTTTCCAGTGCCTTTGTAGCCCTTCCAATGCCTTATTATCCCTTCCAGTGCCTTCGTATTCCTTCCAATGCGTTCCTATGCCTTCCAATGCCTTTGTATCCCTTCCACTGCCTTCCTATCCCCTCCAATGACTTCGTATCCCTTCCAGTGCGTTCCTATCCCTTTCAATGCCTTCCTACCCCTTCCAGTGCCTTCCTATCTCTTCCAATGCCTTCGTATCCCTTCCAATGCGTTCCTGTCCTTTCCAGTGCCTTATTATCCCTTCCAGTGCCTTTCTAGACCCTCCACTGCCTTCCTATCCCTTCCAATGACACCTTCTGTTCTTTATTTCTTAAACTACCCTGTAAATGAGTTCTGGTAACAGCTCAATTTTTAAACAGAGAATATGAATAATAAAAATGTCATTTAGAAAACCTAAATTTAGTAATAACACTAGATCACAAATTTGTGTTTTTTTGTCCCCCGAATACCACTATCCTATTCCTATGTAGAATCGCTCGCCGATTCCGAAAATCCAGTTCAGTTTTTTTCTTTGAGATATTTTCAATTTACCGTTATTTAGCTTAAAAAAGTGGTTCCACTTGATCACGTCGACAGTTGCTGGGAATTTATTAATTATTCCAGATTTTTTGTGTTTTTGATGAAAAAAATTCAAACTTTTTTTCATTCGTGTTGAATAACACCTGTTCTGTTACAAAAAAATCAACCTACTAATGAAGAAAATTGTTGAATGAATAGAAAGCTTATGTGTGGTCAAATAAAAATGCGCAAAGATTTTTATACCTTTCATGAGCATGAAATGGTATTATAACTTTGGTCCGATGTTTGTAAGTACCAGAACAAAAAGAGATAGACCCATTAAAATGTATACTTATATGATCAGAACGTCGAGCTGAGTTGATTTAGCCATGTCCGTCTGTCCGTCTGTCCGTCTGTCCGTCTGTCCGTCTGTCCGTCTGTCCGTCTGTCCGTCTGTCTGTCTGTTTGTATGCAATCTAGTCTCTCAGTTTTCGAGATATCCGGATCAAATTTGGTAGGTGGGTGTATTTTTATAATGTATTAATCATTTGTCGGAACCGGAAGAATCGGACCACTATAACATATAGCTCCCATACAACTGATTGTTCAGATATGAGATTTTTCGTTATAACTTCTGCATTTATGCAGCTACGAACATGAAATTTTGCAGTACTTGCACCCATTATCAACAGAATACTTACAGTGAAAATTAAAAAGATCGGGTAACTATAACCTATAGCTCCCATACAACTGATTGTTCAGATATGAGATTTTTCGTTATAATTCATCCATTTATATAGCTAGGAACATGAAATTCCGCACTGTTTTCAATAATTATTAACAGAAAACTTACGGTGAAAATTAAAAAGATCGGGTAACTATAACCTATAGCTCCCATACAATTGATTGTTCAGATATGAGATTTTTCGTTATAATTCATCCATTTATGTAGCTAGGACCATGAAATTTCGCGCTGTTTTCACTCATTATCAACAGAAGACTTACAGTGAAAATAACAAAGATCGGGTCACTATAACCTGTAGCCCCCATACAACTGATTGTTCAGATATGAGGTCTTTTATCATAACTCCTCCATTTATGCAGCTAGGAACATGAAATTTCGCACCATTTTTGCTCATTATCAACGGAATACTTACAGTGAAAATAACAAGGATCGGGTGACTATAACATATATGTATCTTCCATACATCTGATTGTTCAGATATGGGATTTTACTGTAAAACTCCTTTATTTGAACAGCTAAAACCGATAAATTTCGTAAGATATTTTATAAATAATAATACAAAGTCTACTGAGAAAATCGTCAAAATCTATGCTGTATAAGCTTTATCTCCTATACCACTGATTGTTCAGATACCAGTTTTTGCGATATATCTTCTTTATGTAGGAAACTAAACCCAATAAATTGTGTTACCGGTTTATATACCGATCACATAGCAGTGAAAATCACTTAGATTGGTGCCATATAAAGTATATCTTCCATACCTCTGATTGTTTAGATGCGATTTTTTATATAAGTATGTAACTCCTCTATCGATGTATGCAGATGTATTCAAATGCAGTAATCTGTCAAAGTAAAATTTGCAGATGTTCATGAAAGGTATGAAGCCTTCGGCATAGCCGAAGACAGCGCTGCTCTTACTTGTTTTGTATGAAATACATATGAGCAGGAAAGAGTGCTACTCATACGCCATGGATATCCATATGTATGGGTATTCTTGCCTGTTCATATTTCATAAAAAAAATCCTTGCGCGTTTTCATTTGACCAGTCGTAACTTTTTGGAGTGAAACTTCTTAATCGAGTTCGGAGTAGAGATGCCATTTTTAAATCGATTAAATCGAACATCGATTAATCAAATCCTTTCGATTCGATTTTTTGTCGATTTATTAGTTCAGATTCGATCCGTGATATTTGTAGATATTTTCGTTAAAATTTTGCACACCCTAATTACCTTCATAAAAAAAATTGTGCTATGCCGTTCTATAGCCCATTGAATTTTAGGTGCGAGCTTAAATATGTCAGGACTTAGCGTTGATTTTTGGCGACTTTTTTCTTAACATTTTCTTCCATATAAAAACAATTTCGAGCTATGGAGGAAATGAGCAAAATCTTTAGTGAAAAAATTGCCAGAAATCGAAATTGCATTCTATTAAACTAAAATTCCATGGCCTACAAAACTGCACTCTTAAATGTTTTTCTAAAAAGGGTAATTAAGTAATGAGACTTAAAGTTAGCAAAAACTAAAAAATTCAAAAATGATCCATATTGCAAAAAACCCTGTGTACATAAGCTTTATTGGGCTCGTGTATGTATAATACATACACTTTTTTAAAATACCGCTTAATTTTGAAAAAAAAATCTCTTGTTAAAAAAAAATCGAAAATATTTTACTGTTTCCTTAAGCAGGGCTAAGAATTTTTGAAATTTCTACTGAATGCTCATATCGTTGGCTTAATATAGAACAGCTTGTTTTACAGTTTTTTTCAATTATTTACGGATTTTTAGCTACCTGATAGCTTTTGGATAAATGTAGATATTGAAACCGTTATGAACAATGTAAATTTTAACAATTAATTACAATAAATATTTGTAATGTCAGTGTTGGTATTTTGTTTCTTTATAAAAATTAAGTATAATATATGAATCGATCTTGTGGATTCTTCCTTCATCGATTATTTTTATTTCGATTCGAATCGATTTTTTTATATTTCGATCTGGCATCGCTATTTCGGAGATATTTTTGTGAAATGTTTAACACCAGGTCATCACTTCTGTATCGATCGTTTGATTTTGAAAAATGAGGTGTCAAATTAAAGGGCTTGTGCTGTCGACTTGCAATCTTATGGCCTAAGTTAGAAAATTAAATTCCTGAATATGAGCATGCCGCATACTTGCGGAGTTGGCCCGTATAGAAAATCGTTTAATCTGCACACCCTTTATATAGAACATATTCGAGTACTTCATATCGGATAAATATCCAGAAATTCTCAATCCACTCGAAGGAAATTGTAATAACGTGCACTTTAACTTGTAATCATAGAATGAACTCAAGTAGCACATACAAGAAATATCGACGAAATCGAGGAAAACCCGGCATATAGCTTAAGTTGCTTTCATTGTAAACAAGAGTATACGAGCCTATAACTTTCATATGCGTTTTCATATACATATACAAGCATGCATACATATATTTGAGTAATCAGATTTTAGTTACTCGACCATATTCACAATTCCGGTAGAAGACACCAGTCATACTACTTTTTTGTAATTTCGTTACACAGTTCCAATAAAGTGTACTAAAAAAGTTCCAATTTTCCTTTCAGAGCCTGATGCCTCATCTTAAATAGTTTCCTGCTCTTCCTGATCGTCCCGCAACACAAGACGAACGCTGATGCTATGAAGGCAACAAGCAACCTCAGTTACAGCCACTCCGTTGCAGTAGCTAACACCAGCGCCAGCTCAAGCTCCACGCCCACATCTTACTCTGCAAGTAGTAGCAGCACTTCGGCCGCGTGCTCACAACTTACCACCCCTACCGCACCGGCTGTATCGGCATTGGTTTCAGCCGCAACAGCAACAACGAAATCAACAAAGACAAAACCTGCAATCAAAACGTCAAAGGTGAGCTTTGCACCGCTAGACATAACCTTCCCGCCTCCGAACACAACCTCCAACATTAGCAGCTGCGCTACAACGGCCACGTGATACGAAAATCCCAACATGCCACACAACAACATCGTGTGTGAATGGCTGCGTGCCATAGGTATGCAACAGTATGCCGAAAGCTTCATGGAAAATGGCTACGATGAGCTGGAGATCTGCAAGCAAATCGGTGAAATCGATCTAGATGCTATTGGTGTAGACAATATACAGCATCGGAACAAACTTCTGAAGAGTGTGCGATCATTGAGGGAGAAAGGAGCAGCCATTGTGTATGTGATGATTAACGATCCGAAAGCGTTGAGTAGTAGTAATGAAATTCTGGCATCTGATTGTGATGCGCCAACAACGATGAAGGAGCTGGAGGCTGTTATGAAGCGTCACTTAGAGGCTGATGGAATTCGATTGACAGCACACCCATACTCGACGCCGGTGAGTCAAGTAAATTTTAAACAAACACATTGCTAACTATGTATGTAAGTGTGAGAGGCACGTAGAAAAGGAGAAGTTGAGTTGCAGCTCCACATAAGTATGTTTACATACATACATGGAAGGCCAAAATGTATTCAGCAATGTGATCTAATTTGACATTGCTCTCAGAAGAACCATCCTATAAAGTCGAATTGAGAAAATGTTGTTTGGATTTTGAATCGATTGTTTAAATTTTTTGGCACTATAGTACCTTAAAAGAGAGCCTACCCGAGTTGACAATCCCACCTTGTTTAATACACCTTGGATAAGGCCATCTCAAGTGGGCACAAATTTACCGAGATTCGAATTTCAAGGTGATTTTTCGCTCAAATGAAGTTCTACTGACTTGAAATAATATAATAATATTATAATAGGTGGGCGCTTACACATATGTTAGTGTTTGGCCGAGCTTCTCCTCAGATTTGTGGTGTGCGCCTTGATGTTGTCACACTGATGGCAGGGACCTACAGTTTTACGCCGACACCGAACAGCGAGTGTATTTTTATGAGAAGCTGTTTTCCATGGCAGAAATACACTCGGAGGTTTGCCATTGCCTGCCGAGGGGCAACCGCTGTTCAGAAAACAGCTTTTTTTCTAAATGTTTTGCGATGTTGCTTTGACCGGGGCTTGAACCAAGGCCCTGCGGAGTGGAAGCGCACACTGCTTACCACTACACCACAGCGGCCGCTTACCTAAAATACACTCCGTAAATTTCATTGAAAAAAAATTCTAATTTAGACTTTTTATGAACATTTTAATTTTTTTCACAATGGTACGGAATTATTATTTTTTTCTGAAAATACAAATTGGAATGCGATGATTTTTTAAACATAGGGAGAGGACATACAACCCTACTAAAATTAATTTTTTTCGTCTAGACAATTTTAAATGTAATATAAATAAAATTATTATTTTTTAAACAAATAAAAATTTAAACAATTTATCCGCCTGTCATAAATTTATAGTAGCAGCATATCACGCCGCAAGTATTCAAGCATTCACTTCGAAAAAAAGATGTGAACAGTAGTTTATTCACAATCACAACCTTAGTGTGAGCTTACACACTCCGTGTCCATACGAACAGTAATATTTGAGTGGTTTTAAAAATCGACTTACGATTTTTACAGGTGCTCACGTCTAAAAATGTGCTACTTAGGGGAAAAATACAATTGTGAAAGTTTGAGCTCAAGCGGAACATGCCTTCACGTGCCGAAAGTGTCCTGAAGTTTACAAAAACGACAATTTTTTGAGAAAATACGATATTTTTTTGCTTTAGCTTACGACTGATTCTATATAATGCTATAAATTTAACATCAGATGAAAGGTAATTTTATTGACTTTAAAGTAAATTTTAATACGTTTTCATTAAAACGTACGGTTTTGAAGACATTTAACATTTAATGGTGCAAGCACCTTGTTTTGTTTTCAGTTTATTGTTTGTTAAATCTTGGTAAGTTTTAATTTTTATTCATGACTTTTGTTAGTAAAAGTCACTTATTAATTTTTATTGATGTCTTATACAAATAAAACTGTAATTTGTTTTTTTTTAGATTTTACATTTTATTTCAATACTGTTTTTCATGAAATTGCTTTAAAGTATTCAATGCGAATAAGGCCTCTTTAACACTAGTCGCTACAGCGGCATTATTGTATTCTTCTGGGTCTTCAACAAACTGAAGAAAACTTACTCAAAAACAGGACTGTTAAACGGAAAAGGGTTGTAAAGCGGAAATGCAGTGCACAAGTGAAAATTTCGTACAAAATCCATTTCACGAAGCAGTATTTTGGCAAATTTTCGTAATTTGTTTTTCTGTCAAAGGATAAAGAAATCTGTTCAATGTGTCCATTTCTTACAATTGAAGTTAAGATGTTTTGAAATTATCTGGAAAAACTCGAGTCTTGCTTCATAGTGCCATTAAATGTTAAATATCTTCTAAAGCGGATATTTTTGAGGAAAATGTTGATGTTTAAATTTAATGCTGAGCTTACAAGTATTTACAGTTACTTAAGGATAAAAATCACTTTACTACTACTACTATGTACACATGTACGTATGAATACGGAGTGTGTAAGCTCGCACTAAAGATATGATTGTGAATAAACTACTGTTATCCGTTCACATGTTTTTTTCGGAGTGAATGCCCGAACACTTTCGCCGTATAATGCTGGTATTATAATTTTTTTTTACAGGCGAAAAAATTTTTTAAAATTTCATTTGTTTAAAATATAAAAATTGTATTTATATTAAATTTGTAATTTTCAGGACGAAACAATTTAATTTTAGTAGGGTTGGTTGTCCCCTCCTTATGTTTAAGAAATCATCGCATTCAAATTTGTATTTTCAGAGAAACGAAAATAAATTGCGTACCATTGCAAAAAAATTCAAATGCTCATAAAAAGTCTAAATTTTAAAAATCACCTAGAAATTCGAACGTCGTTAAATTTGTGACCCACTTGAGATGGCTATACTAACATATGTTTGTGCTGACCTATACTGAGCTCATTGGTTTATTGGTTCGCTTATGAAATTCATATCCTCTTCGCTGTAAAATTGCTCTTCCTTGGCCGGTATGTGCACTATAAATATTGGGCGGCGCGGATGAGGCCAAGTGATTTATATACTCTTTGTAAATTCCATTGGTTCACCTACCAACAATTGTAAGCCACTATCAGATTTTCTCTTACAACAATGTCACTTTGTCTCGATGTCACAGCACTATCGATACTTACAGTCCATTGGCGGTGTGATGGTGTAAGCGATTTCGATTTCATGCCATGGCGTGTAGGATTTTTTGCCAGAACAGTTGATAAATTATTGGCTTTGACCTGGTCTTTTTCCGGAGTCTTTAACTATGACCTCTACTTGGACGTGTGCATATTGGCGCAAGTTTATGTGTGTGTTTGCAGGATAAACCATGAAACTTTTGCTGGGTGGCTGCTGATGGCAGTTTGCGTTTCACTTTCCACTTTTAAGTTTCATTTGCACCTACTAAACTATTTACTCAATATGCAACAAATTTTGGCACGTAGATACTTAGTGCAGCATGGATGTGACCAACTGGATACAGTAGATATTTAGATATCGCCGGTTTTATTACTTATACGACATATTAGATTAGATTAGATGAGGTTTAGAGGAGAAATCCGGTAACCTAGTTACCGCGACCGAAACGATCCATTCTAACAAACCCCTATTCAACTAAAAATCTTCTTTGATCCATATATTGCTAAGAAACCTTGCGAGGTCCTTTGGCTGAATGCCGTTAAGGTCGGGTGCTTCTAGGTACAGTGATCCTAGGAAGCGGCGTCTAGTCCTAGGAGGGCTTGACAGTGACGTGCTCTACCGTTTCCGACTCTTCGTTGCATAACCGAAACTGGTCAGAGTTCACAACTCCTATGTTTTACAATTGTTTCGTTACCCTACAGTAGCCAGTAGAAAAGCCTCTAACAATTCTTACTTCATGCATACTGAAGTGAAGGAGTTCTTCGGTTCCTCTTGTTGATATATCCAGGATGAAGGACTTGGCCTGTCTGTTACCTTCCGTGTTTGTCCAGTAACGTTGCGCTTCGTTCTTCATCCAGATATAGTAGTTTCGCCTAACGGAGCTCCATTATAGACCAGTAATGGGTCCTGGGCTATAAATCCCTGTGTAGTCCCTTTTCTGGGGAGAATATCTGCCACTTCATTTCCCATGACTTCACTGTGACGCATATGAGTTTCCTGGAGGCGTTACATATTAAGAGCTAAAGGCAGTCCCACACCAGCTTTGAGGTGACCTCGTGCACTCTAAAAGCGAGTAGCACCACTCTACTGTCCGAGTGTATTTAGATGTGTTGCGACTTTTGTTCCGGGGGTAGTCGTTGTAGCCTACTGAGTTTGGCATGCTAGACTTCACTTCTGCCTTCTTCCACCAGACGGGTGCGCCGTAACAGAGAATGGGCTTGGAGATGACATCATACATCCACTTTTCCAGTTTAACTCCTAGACATTTGATCTTTTCGGAAAAGTAAAGCTTTTCTTCTTGAAGAAAAGGTTCTAATAATTTGCCCCTTTTCTGTAGTATCTCTGATTAGGATGTCAATGCCATCAAGATAGCCCTGAACGTCGAAGCCGTTTTAGCTATTAAGGCAGAGTAGTTCGTCTACTACGAAGGACCATAGCAGAGGGAAGATCACTCCCCCTGCGGAAAATCTATCGTAGCTAAGAATCTGACTCTTTCTTGTCCTAGAATGGATATAATGGTCCTGGATTTAAGGATTTTTGCTTTCCAGCGGCAATTGGTTTCATCAACCGCTCTGTGCAGGACGCAACTTTCTATTAGAGAGTGTTGCGTGTTTTCGCAACCGCCACCCACGTCTCTTTGTCCGATGAAGACTTTCTAGTTTTCCTTGTAACACTCTAAAGAGCGTGCATAGAAGATCTTCCTGAAAGAAAGTCATATATTTCCTGGTATACATATATAAAATGTGGATGCTTGACTACTTGTGGACTGCTCTTGAATAGAACGACCTCGAGTCAGCTCAGCCAAGCTTGACTATTTGTCAAAAATTCGCGACGAAAACTATGCCACTAAGGTTTGTCTGATTTTGACTAAATTAGCTGTGCGTTTTTAAAGCGCCTAAAATTAAATTTTTGCAACATATTTTTAGTCGTACTTCGTTTGACCAGCATTCAAGCTTGCCAATTTATCAAGTGAAGAGGGGGTAAATATCTTACCGGATCGCATTTGCGGCATAGGAGAAGATGAGTTGGAGGAAGACAACGTGGGATCATCCGAACACTTCTTTTTGGAACTCAGATTGCGGCTTGTGCCGTGAGTTAATACTTTCTGACTATACAGGAGAAGCTCTCCGGGATTAGTATCTGTCGCCTACGAAACTTCACACTGCGTATCTCACTATTTATATATATACATATATAATACGCGAAGAGATTTTTTGTCCAGGATATAAGATGTGCA